CATTTGTAACTTGGAATGGTCTCTAAGTGAACTCTTGTAAGTTGAGGACTACCTGTAGTATAGCTATAGAATACCATAGCAATAGAATAGAATAGAATAGAATTAGAATAGATTCTTTAATAGAAGAAATGATGAAGATGACGATAATCCCTTTTGGCAGCTGTGTATTTTAAATTTTCTTTTTTTCCTTTTTGGTTCTTTATGATGGGCATCATTTTGTAGATTGTTCGCTGTCCAGAATTGAATGAATGAATTTGTTTTAGAGAGACGCTCATCTGACATACGAGACTCTAGGTGGCTTGCAATAAAATAGATAAAATGCAGAATATACAAATAAAAGACATTGCAGCCTGGGCATGCTGTATTTTTGTCCATCGGTTGGCTGGCCCGTTTTAGCACGCGGTCACACGAGCAACATAATAAAAGCAGAAGCAGTTGGGTGATAAGGAGAGAGGAAATAATGTGTGAGGTAGAAAGGAAATATGTGAGATATAAAGGCAAGATAATATTACCTGCTGTGTTTTCCTTGCATAGACTTCCTTGCATCAAATATTATGCAATGATGCTATTGCCTAAGGCCATTTAGCAGCCGAATAAGGAGAAAGCCCTCTTTCTTTACAGTGGCTTGTTCCACTTTGCAGAAATACTGCAGGAGTTTTTGTTTCTGTGAGTAGGCAGTGGGGTACCCCAGGGTTCTGTCTCAGTCCCAGGACTCTTCAACAGCTTCATAAACGGTTTAGATGAAGCAATAGAAGAGTTATTTATCAAATTTGCAGATAACAAGCTGGGTGGGGTGGGGTAGGGAAGAGCCAACCTTTTAGAACAGGGGTCTTCAAACTTGACAGCTTTAAGACTTGTGGACTTCAACTCCCAGAACTCCTCCTCCAGTCATGTTAGCTCAGGAATTCTGCTGGGAGTTGAAATCCACAAGTCTTAAAGCTGTCAAGTTTGAAGACTCTTGTTTTAGAAGATAGGCTCAAGATCTAACAAACATTTTTTTTTTGACAGATTTGAACACAAGTATCTATCCAACAAAATGCAGTTTCAGTGTTGATAAAATAAAGGTTTTACACTTAGGCAAGAAAAACCAAGTGCATTGATGTAGAAGAGGAAGTACCTGGCCCAACAGTAGTAGCTTTTAGAGGGATCTTAAGAGTCCCAGGGGACAACCACTTAAATATGAGCCAGCAGTGTGTTGCAGCTGCCAAAATAAATCCTAGGCTGCATCAAGAGAGAGATAGTATTGAGATCATGTGACGTGTTAGTATTGCTTTATACCAGGGGTCGTCAACCTTTTGGACCTCAGGCACCACCAAGCACATAATTTTAAATCCTGCGGACCAGAGACCCTGGGGAAAACCCCCTAAAAAGTCTGCAGGGAAATTCCTGACCCTGTTTTCCTACCAATCAATCTTTCTTTCTTTGGGATCACAGGATATGCTCTCCAGCTCCATTCTTGGGGGGGGAGAGAGAGACTTTTGGCTTCATGCAAGGAAAGCAGCAGAAGCAGCAGAAGTCTTTCTTTCTCTCCCCCAAACTCCGCCAGAAATGAGTCCTTGCCGGCGCAGCCTCTTGGAGCAGGATGCCTTGCAGGGTCCCAAAGACTCATTTCTGGCAGAGTTTGGGGGAGAGAAAGAAAGACTTTTGCTGCTTTCCTTGCCTGCAGCCAAAAGCAGCAGAAGAAAGAAGCATAAAGAAGCAGCCCAGTGGCCAGGCGAGGTGCGTGGGGTAAGTTCTCCCCCTCTGCCCTTTCCCTTCTCCCCTCACTACCTTGTGTTGTTTGCAATGCAAGCGACGCAAGCCTTGTGTTCCCACGCAGCCTGGATTAATTCCTTTGGGGGTGACATTTCTCTGCAGACCACCAAAACTTTCTCGCACACCACCAGTGGCCCCCGGTGCACTGGTTGGTGATCACTGCTTTATATTGCTTTTGTAAAGCCGTATTTGGAATACTGTATGGTCTCCATGACCAAAAAGACATTGAGTCTCTAGCATCTAGAAAGAGAAAAGCAGCGAAGACGATTAGGGGACTGAAGACTAAAATCATATTATGGTGGTCTTCTAATGCAGGTCGTCCTCGATTTACGACCACAAATGAGGTCAAAATCTCTGTTGCTAAGCAAGGCAGTTAAGTGAATTGTCCCCCACCCCAATTTTATGACATTTGCCACAGCTGTTAAGTGAATCTCTGCAGTTGGGAAAACAGTTTGTAAGTGAATCTGACTTCCCCATTGACTTTGCTCATCCAAAGGTTACACAGGACTTTGGGATGACTGCAATGGTCATAAGTACGAACCAGTTGCCAAGCATCTGAATTTTGATCACATGAGGATGGGGATGCTACGAAGTGTGAAAAATGGTCCTACGTGGTCACTTTTTTCAGCACGGTTGCAACTTTGAAACGTCACTAAATAAGTACCTGTTTTGGCACCCACCCATCCTTCTTTCTAACAGAGTTAACTGCCACCCGGCACCCTCTGCTACACGCCCCCGCCCCCTCGTGATACCACCTGCTTCCTGCCACCATTTCCTTTTATTATTTTATGCCATTTTGGGGTGCATGCTTTTCCTGTCTCCTTTCTAACAAGTTGTTTCTGCAGTTGATCTTCAGTTAGGACTCCCCAGGGTGAGAGAAATGCAATTTTGGGGCTACACGGTGAAGATTTTTCCAGACCTCAAGTAAGGATTCGTAGGGTTTTGCTGAGCAAGACAGGCAAATCGAATAGGAACAAGAACAAGAATGGAATGGAATGGAATAGAATAGAATTTAGAGGTGAAAAGAATAGAATGTAGAGGAGAATAGAACAGAATAGAATGTAGAATAGAATAGAATGGGATAGAATGAAGAGGAGAATAGAATAGAATATAATGTAGAATAGAATGGAATAGAATGTAGAGGAGAATAGATTATAATATAATGTAGAATAGAATAGAATGGAATAGAATGTAGATGTGAATAAAATAGAATAGAATGTAGAATATAATAGAATAGAATGTAGAGAATAGAATAGAATAGAATAGAATAGAATGTAGAGGAGAATAGAATAGAATAGAATAGAATGTAGAGGAGAATAGAATAGAATAGAATAGAATTAGAATGTAGAGGAGAATAGAATAGAATGTAGAGGAGAATAGAACAGAACAGAACAGAATAGAATAGAATAGTATAGAATAAAATGTAGAGGAGGATAGAATAGAATATAGAGGAGAATAGAATGGAATGGAATGGAATAGGATAACAGTTGGAAGGGACCTTTGGGGTCTTCTAGTCCAACCCATTGCTCAGGCAGGAAACTATAGCATTTCAGACTAATTGTCAGGATTCCAGCAATCGCTCTAATTAAATCATGATTCTTGAGCCAAACTTCAAAGGTTTGAGGCAACATGCTGGCACTACCCTGTATGAAGCCAACTCTGACATAAGTAATTTACTGTCACCTGTTTCCTATACCTGTTTTAGTAGTTGCCACTAATGGTTGTTCAATCTCTTCTTAAAAACTCTCAGTGTTGGAGCATTTACAATTTTTGGAGGCAAGCTGTTTCACTGATTGATTGTTCTCACTGTAAGAAAATTTCTCCTTAGTTCCAGGTTGCTTCTCTCCTTGATTAGTTTCCACCCATTGCTTCTTGTCCTGCCCTCAGGTGCTTTGGAGAATAGCTTGACTCCCTCTTGTTTGTGGCAGCCCCTGAGATATTGGAAGATTGCTATCATGTCACCCCTAGTCCTTCTTTTCATCAAACTAGACGTACCCAGTTCCCGCAACTGTTCTTTATATGTTTTGCCTCCAGTCCCCTAATCATCTTCGTAGTTTTTCTCTGCACTCTTTCTAGAATCTCAACATCTTTTTTTACGTCGTGACCAAAACTGGATGCAGTATTCCAAGTGTGGCCTTACTAACAAGGCATTATAAAGTGGCACTGACACTTCATGTGATCTTGATTCCTTTTCCCTCTGTTAATTCTGTAGTGAAGATGGAGTTGAAAAATACTATTTTAAACCAAACATTAGTTTCAATCGGTATTTTTAAATGTTTAAAAACTGGACTGTCATTTGCCTGGAATAGTATAGGGCAGTGGCGGCTAACCTTTTTCGGCTTGCATGCCAGTACCCAGAAGGCAATGCGTGCTGCCCCCCCCGGTGCCCCCTGTGCATGCGCACACATCTCCCATGCACCTCCTGCGCATGCGCGCCAGATACCCAACAATCAGCTGTCGGGTGGCGGCGCGTACACGCATGTGCAGTGGGAGTCCTCCGGTGACCTCTCGTGTGCCCGGGGAAATGGTTCTGCTTGTCACGCCTGGCACGTGTGCCATAGGGTCTCCAACACGGGTATAGGGTCTTGGGAGTTGGGTTGGACTAGTAGGGTCCCAAAAGTCCCTTCCAACTCTGTTATTCTGTTATATCTTCCCTGAGATCAGGGAAATAGTTGCATGGGGCCACCACGCAAAACATACTAAAAGTTGCATCTGCATTAATTGGTTCCTGCTGAACATTTCACCCCTCAAAAGAGTCCAGACAGGAATCGTTAATGTTAGTCTTAGATTCCCCCGTTCTTTAAACAATCAATAGAAGGAATTCATCGGTTAAAAATAAATAAGTATAATCCAACAATAAACGTTTAATAACAGAACATTATGTCTGATAGAATATAAATAACAGAGAACCTATAGGAAACAAGGTATAACGGCCGCATAATATAATTTAGGAAATATTCAACTCACTGTCAAATGTCCTAAAGGAAAATTTAATTAGTTTTAGCACAGAGATTATTGTGACGTTTGGTTGTATGAATCTTTGTCTTTTGAGTTTGTAGATTTGTATATTAATTTTTTTGTATTCAATAAAGTTTATTTAAAAACAAAATTTAAAAAAAGAGTCCAGATGAGTAAACAACCCTCATATCTATCTTTTTCCAGAACAGTGGGATGGAAGCAGCTGAAATAAATCCTGTGGTAATAAGTCTTTTCTCCAACATTTTATGTCTCTTTAGGTTTTTTTTAGAAAGCCAGAAATCACCCCAGGCCACCGCTACTTCTCACGATGATCATGAGATCTTGTCTGGGAACAATGCCGCCTGTTTTGACCCAGCCGTCGATGCCCTGGCTGCTTCTGTTGTAAGGCAAGGGGCAAGGCCGAAAGGCAGGCCTTCGAGCTTGGGGGTCTGACTGCTTTTCCTGCTTTGAGAGAGTGGAGGAGGTGGGTGAGCCTGAGCTGCTCTCCCTCCCCTCCCTTCCAGAAGGAACCCATAGGCAAAATCTTCTCCGTGCCCTGCAGTTCTCACTGCACTCCCCGCTGGCTGCCGGGCAGGGCCAGCCATCCTTCCTGCCAGGGCCCCAGGGCCTCACCTCGCTCGTCCCGAGGTGAGACAGAGGCCTCCCTCGCGGCGGGGGACAAAATGGCGTCGGGGAGAGGGGAAACAGCTGCCCTTCACCTCCAGCTGCAGGGGGCTGCCGAGCCGAGCCCACGGCCGGCCATGAAGATGGAGGACAGGGCCACGCAAGAGATGGGGCGAGGAGGGGTCTCGCGCTTCCTTCAGATCGGCTCCACGCGGGAGTTCTTATCTGGAGAGTCCTCACGCCACGTCAAGCAGGAGCCGGATGAACTTCTCCCGCCCCATCACTGGGCTCCCCCCAGGCAGGAGTTTTCTCCATCGGGGTGGAGAAACCCAGCTCTACCCAAGCCCCTGACGTGGGACAATAGCTCTTTCCAGGCCCCATACGAGACTCCGGGCAATTCGAGCCCCTGGCCCTCGGGAGGATGGGGAGGCCAGACTCTGGCCAGCCTGAGCAGGGGGACTCAAACGGTCTACAACGTCCAGGAGCAGCGAGAACGGAGGAGCCACGGGGGCCTCAAGGAGGAGCCTCCGAACGAAGGGACGGTCGGCGTGGAGATCCTGCGCCAGCGTTTCCGGCGGCATCGCTACCGAGAGGCTGAGGGACCCCGCGAAGCCTGCAGGCAGCTGCAGGAGCTTTGCCACGAGTGGCTCCGGCCAGAGAGGAACACCAAGGAGCAGATCCTGGAGCTGCTGATCCTGGAGCAATTTTTGACCATCCTTCCCCAGGAGATGCAGAGCTGGGTCCGGGAACGGAGGCCGGAGAGCTGCAGCCAAGCAGTGGCCTTTTCAGAAGAGTTCCTGGCGCGGCAGAGAGAGACCCAAAGGAAAGAGCCACAGGTAACCAATATGGACATATTGTCCAACTGCTCATAAACCAATCCTTGGCTAGATTACAGGGAGATGTAAAACAGAGCCCCTGCCCCCAACCTTTTGGGCACCAGGGACCGCTTCCGCGGAAAGAGTTGTTTTCCATGGATCAGAGGGGAAGCCATATTGACACCAGATGCTTCCACGCTGCCACATTCTTGAGCCTGGGACAATGGGAGGGGGGAAGTTCTTGGAGTGGTTGTGGTTAGACATAATAGCATTCTTTTTCTAAGTCAAGGTCATGTTATTCCTGCACCTGGGTGAGGGGATGTCTCCAGTTGGGACGGATGGTGATTGGGGCATGCGATGCGATGATGGGTGCAGGGGTGCAGTCTCTTGCTTGAGCAGGGGGTTGGATCTTCTAAGGTCTCTTCCAGCTCGATTCTGATTCTGTTTTCCAAAGCGTCAGAAGGCAAGACCGGAAGCAAGGGAGGGAAACTTAGCCACAAAGATCATCCATTTTAGAACCAAGGAGAAACTTCCTAACAGTGAGGACAGTCAACCAATGGGAAAAGCTTTACCTTCAGAGGCTGTGGCTGCTTCATCCCTGGAGGTGTTTAAAAAGAGACTTACCTGAATTGGGATAGGCCAGGTCTCCTGCTTGGGCACGGGGCTGGACTAGATGATCTCCAAGGTCCCTTCCAGCTCTATTCTGATTGATCGATACACAACCCAGTTCCCTCAGAGCAGCGGGTAGGGAAACTTGGCTCTTCCATCACTTATGGACTTCAACTCCCAGAATTCCCGAGTGAGCCATGAAAGGTTCCCCATCCCTTGGCCTACTGGTTTTTCAGTTGTGAGGGAAATCAATTTTGCCCTAAATTTGTATATTAAACAGTCCCATTCAAGTCAAAAAATAGATTTCCCCCACAACTGAAAAACCAGTAGGCCAAGGGATGGGGAACCTCTTTTGGCTCACTCAGGAATTCTGGGAGTTGAAGTCCATAAGTGATAGAAGAGCCAAGTTTCGCTACCCGCTGCCTCAGAGCATTTCCCCCAGATAGAAACAAGCCTGAATTAACTTCCCTGTTGCCATTTTCAGGTGATGTGGTCCTTCGAGGACTTGATGTTGAATCCTACCCGGCCACCACCTGCCCAGTATTCTGCCCTGTCACAGCAGGTCCATTACCCCGCGGTGGCGCTGCCCATGCAGTACCCACCCTTAGCCCCCCAGTCTCCGTACCCGGCCATCGGACAGCCAGCCCCCCATCCCACTGTGGCGGAGCGAGTGCCGGCGGATGCTCGGCAGAGGATGCTCGGCAGGAAGTCGGCGTCCGACGACGGCGCCACCCTCCGCCCTTACGGTAAGCTGATCTTCCAGGGGGAGCTACATCTCCTTCTACCGGTGGGACTCCACTTCCCATCACTTCCCTCAGCAGATCGGCGCCGGCTGAGAAACATGGGGGTTGGAGCTCCAACTTTCCGAAGGGCAGCAAGAGTGACTAAAACAGGGAAATCAATCTTTTGGGGGTCTTTGAACGGATCTGTTTTTCAATCTTCAGTCTTTAAAAATTAGTTTTTTTAAGAAGTGGTTTTCTATCTTGGCTGCAAAGGGAAGAAACCATTGCAGGTAGTCCTCGACTTACAACGGTTCCATTTAATGACCATTCGAAATTATAATAGTACTAAAAAAAAAAAGACTTCTGACCGGTTTTCACATTTAATGACTGTTGTGGCATCCCCATGGTCAAATTCAGATATTTGGCAACTGACTCATATTTATGACGGTTGCATGCAATTCCCTTTTGCGACTTTCTTGACAAACAGAGTCCATGGGGAAGCCAGCTTTCATTTAACGGCAGTTTGTCTAATTTTAACAACTGCAGTGATGGACTTAACCACCGAGCCAAGTTGTAAAAGGAGACCCAACTCACTTAACAAATGTTTCACTCAGCAACCTTTAATTTTGGGCTCCACTGCGGCCGTTAAGGACTACGCAGGGAGGAACTGAGAAGGGAGCAACATGGCTTGCGTGCCTTGCAGGGGAGAAAGGGCCCTGATTCCCTTCATTAGCCACAGCTGGGAACACTGTATAAAAAAAGGCAAGCTGCGTGCAGTGAGCTGTGGGGAGCAAACGTGACTTTATCTTGCACTGTTGTGACTTATCTCTGTTCCTGGCATCTTCCCAACTGTGTGAATTTTGCCGTGCTTTCAAGTCTGGAATTCATGGTCCTGCCCTGCCAAACTAATTACTTCAGTTTGGCTTGTTTGGAGTTTGAGTTACAGTTTGTGTTGCTCACGTTTTGGACTGAATTTTCTGCCGTCAAAGGCTGTTCCCGGGAGAGTTTCTCTCCAGCCAGAAGGTAATCATGGACACTGGAGGCAAAGTTGGAGATAACAAGGGGATCCTTATTGATTATCTGACTGTGTTGCCTTGATGCCATGCCCTGGGTCATCACACTCCGCTAGCCGCCGGCGGGCCACAACACTAGACAAGCCAAAATTGCAATTTTAAAAAACCCTTTTTTTTAAAGGTGGGGGGGTAAGTGAGGAACAATTTTCATGGTTGTAAATCTCAGGTCTCCAGCAAAAATCTTATTTTTTTTCCCTCTCCTTGGACACCCTTCTACATCTCCCCCCCACCTCCATCCCAATCCTGCCCACCTCAGGTCCCATCCAGGAGTTCCGGAGGCCCCTCACCAACGCCGAGCGGATGAGGAATCGGAGGATGAGGAACCGGAAGCAGCGCTTGGAGACCAGCATGCAGCTGGTGGAGTCGGCCTCCCGGGCCCCCTCCATGCTGTTGGATGCCATGCGGGGCCTGCACTGTCACGACCTGAAGGCCTTTGACAGGGCCAGGCAGGAGGAGAGGCAGCACCGCAAGCAGGAACGGCGGCAGGATCGAGCCACGGCGCAGCTGATGGTCGACGCCATCAAACGCTCCCACAGTGACCTGGGGGAATTCCTGGGAAGGCAGACCTCCGCCATGGCTGCCATCGCGGAGGTCTTTACGGGCCAGAAGTCGCCCGCCCAGAGCACCTACACCAACCCCAGCTCTTACTCAGGGTATGGCAACCCGCCCTGGGGTCCCCCAGAACCTGGAGCTCCAGTACCGTCCGGCCACGTCCCTGGCATGCCTTCCGAGCCGGTCGCCGGTCCTGTCATTCCCTGCCCGGTGCCTCCGGTGGCCCTGCCTGGGGGCAGCGGTGACCCAGTCCCGGAGCCGTCTCCCACCGCTGGACCAAGCGAGGCTGCTGCGCCCGATTCCCCAAAGCCTTCCACCTCTGATGCCACTTCCTGTGGCCTTGAGGCCAGGCCCAGCAGGGGCACGAAAAGGAAGACATGGGACTGAGGACCCATAACTTTTATATATATATAGGTTTTTTTTTCCTTAGAGCAATTCCATTTCCTGTTGCCAGCTTGGCAAATTCCACCACGTCTCCCTGCCTTTAGCGTGTTAGGCGGACATCCCATCTTAATCTATGCAAGGAAGCCTGAGGCAATGCTTCAGGCCCATAGGAAGGATTGCCGCGGGCTTCTGAGCCCCCGGGATGGCAGATGGCAGTAAAAGAGAGAAAGCCGCAGAGCGCTTGATCTGTCGGAGGTGGATTTAGGGCAAGGAAGTTGCATCTGCCCATCTGCAAAATAGGAATAATCAACCCACGTTTACATAGTCACTTAAAAGCAGATACCCTCAAGGTCATTTTACTTCTCCGGTAATTAAAAGAAGGAGGTGAAAATCGCAAGCTGTTAGTGTTTGGGGACAAACCCCCAAACAGAATGTGCAGCAGCAGTCAAGCCAGGCAGCCAAATGAGAGAGGAAGGGCCCTAGAGTTTACACACACTGATGACAAACACTGTTTGTAGTTTAAATAGGTGTTTAATCCAATTAGAGTTTAAACATTGTCAATCAGTCCATATGTCATTCACAAATATATCCATTCAGTAACTTAGTCCATTTACTAGTCAGTTCTATATCCTTATCTGCTTGTAAAGATATCTTCTCCTCTGATACCTTTCCTTTTGAAGACAACGCTGAGTATTCACAGGATATCAGCACATCAATGAAATAGTCCTTTCGTTCAGGTATTCAAACAGTTGTAGCAAACAGTAGCAAACAAAAACAGGAGCAAGCAGAGAGATCAAGCAGAGCAGAGAGAATAACCAGCAGAGAGAGGTTACGTTCCTCTTACTGCCTTTTATTGCCGTTTGTAACCGCACCCTTAATTACAGGCAGTTTGGTGCTTAAAGCTACAAGTTACAAACACCCAAACCTTGGTTTATATATTTATTCACCCAAACTTAGTTGGTGTATCAATGTTATACCCAACACAAGCTCTTCAAATGACCGTTAAGAGGTGCTGCTATTCGTCTTCCCATTTCTCAGTTGCAATTTATTTATTGTATTTATTGTATATAGGTATATATACACACACACACACACATACTGACTAAGAATATTGAAGAACCAAGTTGGTTCCAACAATCAAAACACAGGCTTGTAAACTTAAAATGGGGAGGGGGGTGGGGGGGTGGAAGTACAGTGTTTACCGAGCTGCTGCTTCGAGTAAGATTCCTTTTATACCCATTTTGCAGACGGGAGGGCAGCAAGTGAGGCTGAGGATTCGAGGTGTGGCAAACTTTTTCAAGTCAAAGCATCTGGAGCTTAGAAAGGGGTCCCATCCTGACCTCTAAAAAGTGTTGGTTCTGACTTCATGGGCAGATCCTTGTAACCTCTGGAGTAATCTCCCAACATTTCTGGGAGATCCTGAATCAGGCTGGATTTCTGAAAACATATCACCTGAACCCAAGTCTCAGTTGCGTTGGGCTGTTTGTTTTTTTCCAATACTTTTTTTTTTTTAACGTGTACCGTTGTTTGGTTCTACAGCGGGGAAGGGCATCTTGAAATAAATGGCTGTTTCTGTCCGGATAGCTTTATATTTTCTAATGTAAAGAGTTCCCACCCTTGTTTTTTACGCTGCTTTTGCTGAGAAATTTGGATTGTTTTTTCCTCCATTTCAAATAATAATAATAATAATCCAGTAAACTGAACATTAAAACCATTCTGTTGCCTTGATTCTGGATATAGTATTTTACACCTCCTGTAAGGCAAAAGAACAACGCTTTCCTCGTCTGTTTTTTGTTTGTGTGTTCATTTTTAAAAAAATAAAAACTCACTTTGTCCTCAATGGGCTGGGTAGAAAGATTTAAAATGGAGCTGGAGTTTATGGTGAGGCCCATAACTGTCCGCTCTGAAATGACTTTTGGCAGTGCAGGTCAAGTCCTGCTTAGCCCAGGAAGGAGTTAAATTGGGGGATCATCAAGGAGCCCAAATCACAATTCCAGCTGCACCTCAGGGTTGTATCCAATTTCTTGCTCTTAGTGCTCTTTAGTTAGCCACCTGCAACATGGCTGGGGTGACCATGTTCATATGCGCAAATAAATAAGATGTCCGAGGCTGCCCTTTTCCTTCTGTAGCATGGCCAACCCCTTGAAGCATCCAAACTCCAATGTTTGCCCTGCCATCCAAGAGAAATGCAGGCCGCTTGTTCTCAAACCCGCGGGGAAACCGGGGTGAGGGGGGGCGGATTTCCATTGGTGCCAGAGGGAGGAAGTTGCATTTTAGTGGCTTGAACTGCCTAAACATGGCTTCACCTTTTCCAAAGCTGCAAATGGCTTCCCTTTAGCCTTTAAACAAGAAGAGGGTGTGTGTGTGGGGGGTAATGGGGTTCCATGGGGAACACCAGCATTTGAGGAAAAGGATGTTTGCCCAAGGAAGCCACCCGGAGTGGTACTTTCCTGAATTGAGCGCTCTCTATTGCAGGGATGTCCAACCTTGGCAACTTTTAAGGCCTGTTGGACTTCAACTCCCAGAATTCCCCAGCCCGCCATGGGAATTCTGGGAGTTGAAGTCCACACAAGTTTTAAAAAGTTGCCAAGGTTGGACACCCGTTTTATTGCTTTAAATCAGGGGTCCCCAAACTTGACGACTTGTGGACTTCAACTCCCAGAATTCCCCAGCTTGCTGTCATGTCACTCCTAGTCCTTTTCTCTAAGGAGGAGGACTCTCTAGGGCTGTCCATACCCAATTCCAGCAACTGTTCTTCATACGTTTTAGCCTCCAGCCCTCTAACCATCTTTGTTGCTCTTTGCTGCACTCTTTCCAGAGTCTCAATATCTTTTTTTTTATATATAATTTGGTGACCTAAACTGGACACAATTTTCTAGGCCTTACTAAGCAAGAGGAATTGGGGGGGGACGACATTTTTTGGGGCTGCAGCTCAGTCCTTAGCAAGTTGCTGGGTTTAATATCTGGGAGATGACTGCCCATCCATCCTCACCCCTGGCATGTGTGTTGGGATGTGACCTGCTTGCTTCCATCCAGTACACTGCAATCCTCATGCATGTAAAAAGCTAAAATGGCAGTAACAACACCCTTCACTCTGCCTTTCTCCCCGACACCCGTGTTTTCTATGCATAGGAGCAAGTGTGTTTTGTCCTGTCAGTTTCTATCTGCAGCCTGAGCTGGTTGAGGCCTCAAAGACCTGGTTTTCTTGCCACCCCAAGGAGCACCCCCTTCCTGGAAGGATCCTAGATGAGACCCCGGTGGTCTAGCAGGGAATTGGTGCATGCTAATGGCATATCCTCCGCCGCGGGTCATTTCCCCCAAATCCTTTGCAGCACCTATCACTTCTCCAAGAGCTATGTTCTGACCTAGACTTCCCCAACGGCACGAAGCCGACGCCTCATCCCGATAAACCTTTTAGTTTACAGTGAATTTCCTTTCCAGCAAGGTGCCGGCTAACAGTCTTTCAAGATATTTCACTATTACAGACCTTTATCAGGCTTGGAAAGCTGCCAGGCCGATATCTTTCAGATGCCACACTGTAGCAGACAAGAATTTCCGCTACCGTTTCTCCAGAACTGGTCAGAACCTGCTGAATATACCACCTCTGGTCATAAGCTGAGAAATGGAAATGACCACATCTGGGGATTGCAGAGACCTGAACAAAAATTTGGAGTATCTTAGTTTCCTTATGCTTAAAAAAAATACGGAGTTTTTTTTGGTATGCTGCTGGTTTTTCTGGCAATAATAAAATTGTATTTTTTTATCTGGCTAAAGACCTTTCCCCCTGCCTTCAGAGCTGTTCAAATTGGGATGAGTAAATGGTCATTAATACTGGAGGAGAAAGAAAAAAACTCTTGATTTTTTTTCTGGAATTTGTTTTTAAAAAACGTTGCATGAGGCCTTAGGACTGTAAGCCCCCCCCCTCTTTCTTTCTTTCTTTCTTTCTTTCTTTCTTTCTTTCTTTCTTTCTTTCTTTCTTTCTTTCTTTCTTTCTTTCTTTCTTTCTTTTCTTTCTTTCTTTTTTTCTCCTGGATAAAAAGATTTTGCGCGGGATGCTGTCGTCTTTCCGCTGCTGGGCTGTTTTCTCCATCCCTATCGTCAACTTCTCCAAAGGCAAACTCAGGAACCAGAGGACAAAATGATCTTATCGGAAGCTATCTGCAGGAAAAGAGGAAAGAAGTAATCCTCCACTTAAAACTTACGGTAACGGAGCCTGCCCATCATGATTGAAAGTTGTGATGGTTGAAAAAAGGTCACCCGCGTGACTGACCTGATTATATATGACTTTGGGGCAGTGGTGGTTAAAGTGAATGTTCCAGTCGTTAAGTGAACCAATGGTTCATGATGGCCCAGCTTTGCAAAAAAATCAGAAGTAAATGCCCGTTTCAAGAGTAACAGTACTTAAGACTTATACACTGCTCCGTAATGCTTTATTGCCTTCTCTGAGTGGTTTAAAGAGTCAGCCTATTCTCCCCCTGCCAAACTATCTGGGTTCTCATTTTACTGACCTCAGAAGGATGGAAGGCTAAGTCAGCCTTGAGCCGGTGAGAATCGAACTCCTGGCAGTGGGCAGAGTTAGCCCGGAATACCGCATTTTAACCACCGTGCCACCAGGGCTCCCTAAATGTGGCCACATGACAGCAAGACGCTGAAAGTAAATAAATGGGTGAGATTCCAAAATCCCACCAACCGGTTCACTGCCTAGTTGCTGGGTGGGTGAGGCCATGTTGGGCAGGGCCGACTGGAACTTCCTGTTTCCGGATTCGGTGGGTCTCCAGAGCTTGTGGGAGGCTGTTTTTCGCCTTCTCAAGGGTCCCCAGGCCTCCCCGGGCCTCTGGGAGGGTGAAAATGGTCTCCCCTGGGCTCTGACGGCCCTCCGGAAGCCGAAACAGGACCGTTTCCAGTCTTCTGGAAGGCCCATGTTTTCCCCCTCCCAGAGCCTTCGCGTGGACCCTGCACTTACCTCCATCGAAAATGAGCCATGTGGAGACTCCCGGAATGGGCGGGAGGGGATGGGCCAGCTGGTCGGTTGAAATACTGGTTTGGCTAACCAGCTATAACGTTAACATCCGGATCGCCCAAACCAATCTGAACCGGTAGAATACCACCCCTGGCTGTAAATGCAGGCTGGTTGCTGAGAGCCTGACACGCGGTCATGTGGAATCGACCTGCCTGGGTCCATAACCAGTGTTGAGGTAATTCCCATTAGGAGAATGAGTGCACACAGGGAGATGTAGTGAGAGTGGTGAAGAATAACACACAACCAGCACACAGATACACTGTATAGTAAAATGTAGGTTTTTACTTCCAATAAACGTTTAAGCAAAGTCCAACAAACAGTCCAAGTCATTCATGGTTAAAGCAGTCAGTTTTCAGTCCAGGGATAATCCAAATATCAAAGTCCAGTATCAAAAACATTTCAGTAAAAGACTCACATCAAATCCAAGAATAACGATGATCAGCAACAGTCAATAGGGTAATGCAGGAATGGCAACACTCTCAGCAACAACAGAACAGAACCACCCAGGTTTCTGGCTCCATCTTATGGCCATTTGAGGAACCACACCCAATTACAATTTTAGCATTCCCTTAAAGAGACAGTATTAAAATGTCTATCCTGGTTTATATATTTTCCAACCCAATTGTTAGGTGACTTACATTCCTAACAGTTGTCCCTGTCTGGCCTGTCTAGATTGCTCTTGGTTTTAAAAGCAATTATTTAAAAAAATACATATGTGTATCCATGTATATTTACGCACCTTCCCAACCCTATTGGTTCGGCCCTCCACAAACAGTCTCGGTTTCTCATTTGGACTCTTAGGAAAATTAATTACCCACCCCGGCTTTCTAATTCATTGCTCCATTTCAGTGCAGGTTTATCTGGATTTCTCCGGACTAAAATATAACATATATCTCAAGGGTACTTTTTTTCTTTCTTTCAAGAGGCAACTGGACTTGCTAGTTTTTCTTTGAAGAAGTTTCGCTTGTCTTCTTGGCTGAGAATTGCAGACTACAACAGGAACTATTAGCACAACTCAGGCAACCCTGAGGACACAGATCAACCTCCAAGTGCTTCAACGACTCTCTAGAGGATGCAAATGACCAGCTGTCTGCGAGGAAGATAAATCCTTCCATTCCCCACCATCCAGTCAGAGCTGAAGAAGCTTCTCAGATAAGAAGCAAAATATATTCAAAGAAAACAAAACAAAACAAAGAAAGTCCAGTTGCTTCTTGAAAAAAAAGAAAAAGCACTTTTGGGACAACCATGACCTGGATGACTGAGAATCTCCATAGACATATAACCGTCTATATCAGAGGCCTCCAAACTTGGCTACTTTAAGACTTGTGGACTTCAACTCCCAGAATTCTCCAGCCAGCTATGCCACAAGTCTTAAAGTGCCCAAGTTTGGGAACCCCTGATCTGTATGTTTCCATCTTTATTTGTATGAAGGAGCATAGAAGAAAAGACTTTGCCAGAATGGTGTAGGGCAGTGGTGGCTAACCGTTTTGGGGTGTTCCCCCAACACCCCCTGAGCATGTGTACACGATTCCCCCCTCGCTGCTCCCTTACCTGCACTGTGCCTCCCAGCTGATTTTCAGCCTGTTTGAGGCCTTTTTCGGGCTGCCAGAGGCTTGAAGGAAGCCTCTGCAGGATGAAAAATGGGCCCGGTTTGTCACTTCTGGTATTTCCGGAAATACAGGAAGTGATGAAACGGGCCTATTTTTCGGCCTGCAAAGCCTGCAGAGGCTTCCCTCAAGCCTTTGGCAGGCCGAAAAAGGCCCGAAAATCAGCTGGGAGGCGCGTGCATGCACAATGAGGTAAGTTTGCCTGGGGTTCGCGTGCCCGCACCAATGGCTCTGTGTGCCACCTGTGGCACACGTGCCATAAGTTCGCCATCACAGGTATGGGGTCTCCTGTTTAGGTGGGGGGTTGGACTAAATGACCTACAAGGTCCCTTCCAACTCTGTTAATTTGTTCCTCGTGTTACAATCAGATGACTTCCTGCCAGTGTTTTAAAAAAACTATGGCCCAAACAGAGCTTTCAAGGACACCTTTGCAATGCAAGAGACAAAACAGCTTAGTAGATCCTAAAACCATCCCTTTCTCAGCTTGTTAAAAAAAAAAAAACCTTCCCAGAATCTCTTGGGATCGTTTCTACAGCCATAAACTAATTCGTTCAAAATGGGTAGCCCTCTGGCTCCCAGAGTTCCCCAGCCAGCTAGGCCATTCATGAGAATGAAATGCCATCCAGCGGAAAAGGCCACCATCTTGGAGAAAAAAAAGCCACAAAGCCTAATAAGGATGGTTTGGGTTTTTAAGTGAAGTCCGTCGATCCTACTAACCGGATTCAGTCCATTCTTTTCCTCAAGTGTTTCTGCTTTTAAAAGTTACCCTGGGCTGCAGGGAACCATCTCTTTTAGAGCTGCGTGGTAACACACCACCGCCTTCTCCTATCACAAGGCCACCCCGTGGCTGACTTTCTGCCAAGTTTTCGTCCGTGACATTGTCACCTAGTAAGAAAGAACATTCAGAATGTTAGGAATAACAAGGTTACCTAACGTAGTTTGGGTAAAATAATATATATAAACTATGATTGTAAGTTTAAGTGTCTGTCACTTTAAACTGCAAAGCATGTAATTTTGGGTGCGGTGTTGAACCGCCATAAGAGGGAGCAAGAGAACCTGACGATTCCTGACGATTGACTGGTGTGATGAATTGATGGTTTGTTAACTGCGTGTTTCCCCTACTGCTGAGTTGCTGAAGGAAGAGAGGAGTTTTGACTTCTTCATATCTCTACTGCGAGGAGATATATTACTGGACTGATATTTGTAAGTTTACTGACCTCTCTTTTTCGACACTGGAATTTGCAACTGAATAATCCCTGGACGGACTGAACTAGTGAATGATATATGGACTGTTTGACTATGGTATAACTCTTACTGGAATAAACTATTTAACTAGCACGGTGTATCTGTGTATCTGAGTGTAAGCTACAAAAACGTTTATCTCACATATTTTGCCTGCCTGCCTAACTGCCGTGCAGATTCTGCTAGGGTGTATCCCTAACACAGATGTTCAAACATCTTGAAGGGATGGATAGTCTCAACTAAGAACTTATTGTCCACTAGCAGGGTTACGTGTGCTTCACTACGAAACTATGTGATCGGGCAAGTTTTTGGGGAGGAAAATTAGGGGAAAAAAATTCTGCTTCTGCCTACCAGCATCCATCGGTATTCATCTGGCTAGTGTGTGAGAGAGTTGAGGGCTCTTTGGAAACTGAAACAATATTTGCTGTGTGAGCAAAAAGGAGACAGCAAGGAGCCTGGGCGTGGCTTAGCTCAACTGCAATTGGAACATATTTCTTTTCAGGTGGGTAGCGGGAGTAGAACTCCTTAGCATCAGAGCATGTTAATAATAATAATACTAATGCTCTGATGGTATTCTGACCCAAACCCTTTTCCAATAAAACAAACATGAACAGAAACCTTTTAATGATTCTTACGAATCCCCGGTCAAAAGGCTGCTGCAAACTAATTAACTTTGATAAACACAAGCCTCGCCAAAACTGTGTGGGACTGCCAAGAGTCACAGATAAGAAATATTTCACAACACATGACTCTTCAAACACCAACTAAGATACTGGAATGTCCACGAGGCTGGAGTTTCAAAACGTCTTTGCCTTCTGCAAAGGACGTTCGTTTCACAGCTGGCTTTTCTCTTTTTGAAGGAAGAAGCCTTGCAGCCTTACTCCTGAGTCACCCATGCTGCTGCAGCTGCTGTTTCCTGCCAGTAACCCTGTGCGCACACGCACTTGGCACAGGCTCCTCGGGAACCTCCTCACTGCTGCTGCCAGCCCCCACAATCTCTGAAGGCAGCAGTGCACTCCCTAATGGTCCTGGTCTCTCATCTGAGTCCTCGCTCTCCTCAGCCGTCTGCACCTGCTGCCAGCTAACCACAAAAGATAGCCATTTTGAAAAATCCTTTCTTAGTGAACACCTAGAAGCCAAGAGGAACATACGTGCCAAATGCCAAGTTTGTAGGCTTTTACGGTCCTGGAGATTTTGTGATGATGTGTGAGTGGTATTTCACTTTTTGTATATGCAGATTGCAGGTAGTCCTCGACTTACAACCATAAATTGAACCCAAAATTCATGTTGCTAAATGAGAAATGCGTTAAGAAGAAATGCCTCGCCCCACTTTTGCGACTTTTCTTGCCACAGTTGTTAAGTGAATCACTCTGCTTGTTAAATCGGTAACACGGTTGTAAAGGGATCCTGGCTTCCGTGCTGACTTTGCTTGTCAGAAGATGGGCAAAAGCGATCCCGCGGCCCCGGGTGACACGGCAACGGTCGTAAGTCATGAAACGGTTGCCAAGCATCTGAATTTTGATCACACGATCATGGGGGTGGCTGCAAAGGTTGTAACCGTGAAAAAACGGTCATACCGTTTTCAGTGCCGTTGTCACTTTGAACGGTCACTAAATGAACGGTTGTAAGTCGAGGACGGACTTTCTCCCAGCCGTTTTCTGCTCGAGTCACCAAATGGAGCAGAGGCCAAGCAAGGGGTCCTTCCTACGAAGCGATGCCATCCCGTAGAGCAGGGGTGCCAAATTGGATTTCTTCGAGGGCCGGATCGCCATTGTAGTTATCCACCGCGGACCGGCTGGAGGAAGGGGGGAAGGAGATGGGGCAGACACCTCCTGCAGCACCCTGCCAGCCAAAACGGGTCCAAAACGCCTGACACACCTTCTGTGGCAGCACCTGAGCTGCAGAAAAATGTCTCTCTTGGGGGCCCAGATAATCCCCACCCACGGCTGGGCTGCTGGGGGTTCACGGGGGTTCAGGCGAGCCCCTAGCTAAGATTCTGTGCATTCCCCAAATCCCATTCCTGGCTGGACCCGCCCACCCTGCCCAGGGGTGGGATTCTACTGGTTCTGTCCACCTCTGTAGAACCGCTAGTTCTGAAGAGCAGCATACATAGAACCGGTTCTATGTCTGCTGCTGTTTGGGCCCAAGGCTGTCACCTTTTATTTCTTGCTTTTTCAACCATAGCTGCTTTGCGCGACACAGCTGCGGTTGAAAAAGCAGGAAAATCAAAAGGGCTTTTCCAACCGCTGCGCACTTGCGCGCTGCACTCCTGGCCGCTCAGCAGGTCGTAAATCGCACTCGCGCGACTCACCCAGAGCGACAGAACCGGTGATTAATACCGGTCGGATCTAATCCCTGACCCTCCCCTCCCTGGAGTCCCTACACGGCCCGTTTTTTTGCATGCAGGTAAGTTTAAGGTGCGCACGGAGGCTCAGGGAGGGTGAAAAACGGACCTCGCGGAAGTTCAAGAAGGCTGGAAATGGGCCCGTTTCCGGCTTTCAGAGAGCTTTCGGGAGCAGTGGTGGGATTCAAAATTTTTTACTACCGGTTCTGTGGGTGTGGCTTGGTGGGCGTGGCCATGTGACTGGGTGGGCGTGCCTTTTTTGTTGTTTTTTGCAGCTGCCACCTGTTTTGGGGAGCTTCTTAGCCACAGAGGAGCCTCTGGGTTTTTGTTCCCCTAAGGCTCCTCTGGGGCTCTGGAAGAAAAGGAACAGAGCACGGGAGGGGCGCGCAGCACCCCTCCAAGCTCCGTTTTGGGAGCTTCCTAGCATCAGAAGAGCCTGGCGGGGTGTTAGGAATATGAGTCACCTCACAGCTATTTGGGTTAGAAATATATAAACCAGGATAAACCTTTTAGTGCTATGTCTTTAAGAGATTACAAAAGCATGTAATTGGGTGTGGTTTCTCAAACAGCCATTAGATGGAGCCAGAAACCTGGGTTGTTTTAGTCTGAGTCTCAGAAGAGAGTGTGTCTGAGTGAGTATCTCTGTTTCCTCCTGTTGGAAAGTATTGCCGTTGCTCCATTTCTTCTAACTGACTGATATTACTGGATTTAATGTAAGTCTGATACGGAACTGTTTTTGACACTGGAATTTCATATTTGGATTATCCCTGGATTGAAAACTGACTGATTTACCTGTGAATGACTTTTGGACTGCCTATTTTGAACTTTGCTTAAACTGTCTGGAAGTAAAAACCTACATTTATTGTACAGTGTACCTGTGTGCTCTGTGTGTATTATTCAAACACGTCTCCCTGTATGCGCTCATTCTCTCAAATACGTCTCCCTGTATGTGCTCATTCTCCTAACGGGGAATTACATCAACCGGAGGGGAGGGTTTTGCTCCCCTAAGGCTCCTCTGGGGCTCTGGAAGGCAAAAAATGGAGGGGTGGTCTGAGCTCCTCCCTACATTTTTTGCCTTCCTGGGCCTCAGCAAGGGGAATCCCGGCACAGCTGATCTTATCTACAGCTGATTATCGGGAGGGAAACAAAGAAATACCTTAGGCGAATGTCAGGCAGGTGGGTGAGTGAGCGAGCATCGGGCGGGAGGGTGACCGGGTGGGGGGGCGTGGCCAGCCAGAACTTACTACCAGTTTGGCGACCCACGCCAAATTCTTGCTACCGGTTCGCCTAATCTGGTGCGAACCGGCTGAATACCACTATGGCTCCAGAGCCTGGGGAGGCTCTTTTCGCTCTCTGGGAGGCTCAAGGAAAGCCTCTGGAGCCCAGGGAGGGCAAAAACGCCCCCTCCTGCCATGGGGCAGTAGGCCAACTAGGCCGTGGCCACCATGGCCACGCCCACCTAGCAACCGGGCAGAGAACCCTTTGCTAAAATATTTGAAGCCCACTCCCTATCCCCACCCTATAGATCTTTTCTCAAACTCAGGTGACCAGCCTCGTTGCTGGTGTGGGTTATTTTTAATGCTTGGAAAGCTTACAGGTAATCCTCGACTTACAACCATTCCTTTGGTAACCGTTCAAACGACCCTGAAAAAAGTGACTCAGGATCATTTTTCGCACTTATGACCCTGTGGTCATGTGATCAAAATTCAAAGGCTTGGCAACAGACTCAACGGAGTTGTGGGAGCACCATCACTTGAGACTTTCGAGAAGAGATTGGACTCCCGTCTGTCAGAAATGGTGTGGGGCAGGTGGTTCCCAACCTTTTTTTTGCCCCACACCCCTAAAGAAATTTCACTCGAACCTCGCACCCCCTGAAAAATTTAGACTTTAGGAACTATACTGAACGTGTTAAATATATGGTAGGATTGAATCTTTTCAGCTAGGTATGTGACGGCCACTAAATAACGATACTTAACTCTAAAATGAAAACAAAGTTAATCCATTGCATAATAAATAAAAATGCCAACATATAGCCAATATCCTATTATTTACCGGGACTTTTCTCGCACCCCCTGGAATATCGTCTTGCACCCCCAGGGGTTGGGAACCCCTGGTGTAGGGTCTCCTGCTTGGGCGGCGGGGGGGGTTGGACTAGATGACCTACAAGGTCCCTTCCAACTGTAATTATCTGTTAAACCTGTTAAGACTTTGCTCTGGACATCCCCTTCCCATCCTAAAGTGAGGCAGTCCAGATTCCAGACATAGTTAAGCCCCATCTTGTGGGTTGGAACGATAAAAGAACAACTCACAAGCATCTCTGGATCTTGTCCCACTGTAAGGAGGAGCCGGGCCGGTGGGTGATTTGTGGCCTTCCGATTCTCCCTCAGACAGGATCCGAGAGGGTTCGACTTGTCCCTTGCCTAGACTCCGGCTCTCTCGCTTCTCCCTTTCCTCTGAGCGCTGGAGCCCCCACGGCTCTCGTTGGGAGATTAAATCTGGAGTGGATGTTAGATATTCTGTCAAGAAGGAAAAACAGAATTTTTTAAAAAACGCAGCGAGTAGACAAGTGTTTCAAGGGAGAAAATGGCGGAAAGCTGCTCCTCAGATTTCCAACAAGTTGGATGGCTTGAAATCCTCCATTTCTTCTTTTCCTTCAGTTTTCCAATTTCCTCCACAGAGTTTTATTATTCTGTCCTCGCAAAGCACTCACAGATCTTACTTGGGGGTTTGGCCGGGGAGACAAATTCTTCCATGATTGCATCGGTCACGCTTGGTCATTGGGATAGATGATTTTATGATTTGTGCCTTGTTTATCATGCTGCATTTGATATCCTCCAGATGTTCTGGACCAAAAATGGTCGAGCATTTTGGATACTCTTAAGTTCAGATGTTGGACAGACAACAGGCGGAAGAATGGTGCAGAATGAAAATCAAAGCCTCGAATCTTTATAATATGAATCTTATATCTTAAGATATAAGATATTAACCTAAGAGTCTTTGGTTAGTGTTTCAGCAAGATTTTCCTAAAACACAGAACACAGTTAAGATTCATATAGGGTTTCTTTTTAAACTAATATTCAAGTAAGCAATGGTAAAGTACAAAAGACAAACAATCAAGCAGAAAACAATATCCTAATCAATTCTCCAATTCTCGAATACCGCTCATAGAATAGAATAGAATAGAATAGAATAGAATAGAATAGAACAGAATAGAATTCTTTTACTGGCCAAGTGTGATTGGACACACAAGGAATTTGTCTTGGTGCAAATACTCTCAGTATACATAAAAGAAAAGATACATTCGTCAAGAGTCAAGAATCATCAGGTACGACACTTAATGATAGTCATAGGGTACAATAAGCAATCAAGTCATACTAGGAAACAGTCAATATAAATCGTAAGGATACAAGTGACAAAGTTACAGTCATAAAGTCACAAGTGGGAGAGGATGGGTGATAAGCAGTGATGAGAAGATTAACAGTAATAGCAGTGAAGACTTTGTAAATAGTTGGACAGTGTTGAGGGAATTATTTGTTTATCATAGTGATGGTGTTCGGGGAAAAACTGTCCATGTGTCTAGTTGTTCTGTGTGCAGCGCTCTATAGCATCGTTTTGAGGGTAGGAGTTGAAACAGTTTATGTCTGGGATGTGAGGGGTCTGTAAATATTTTCATAGCCCTCTTTTTAACTCGAGCAGTAGAATAGGATAGGATAGGATAGGATAGGATAGGATAGGATAGGATAGAATAGAATAGAATAGAATAGAATAGAATAGAATTCTTTATTGGTCAAGTGGGATTGGACACACAAAGAATTTGTCTTGGTGCAAATACTCTCAATGTACATAAAAGGAAAGATACATTCGTCAAGAGTCAGCAATCATAAGATACGACACTTAATGATAGTCATAGGGTACAATAAGCAATCAAATCAGACTAGGAAACAGTCAATATAGATCGTAAGGATACAAGCGACAAAGTTACAGTCATACAGTCACAAGTGGGAGGGGATGGGTGATAAGGAGTGATGAGAAGATTAACAGTAAAACAGTAGTGCAGGCTTTTTCATCTGCCTGGAACCCGGACTGCATATCAAACATTAAATACAATTGAGAGAGTCCAGAGATATTTCGTGAGAAGAGTCCTCTACTCTTCTGCTCGCAACAGAATACCTTATACCAACAGACTTGAAATTTTGGGCTTTGACAACTTGGAACTATGCCGCCTTCGGTCTGACCTAAGCGTAGTATATAAAATTATCTGCTACGATGTTCTACCTGTCAGTGACTACTTCAGCTTTAACCACAACAATACAAGAACACGCAATAGATACAAACTCAAGATTAACCGCTCCAAACTCGATTGCAGGAAATACGCCTTCAGCAACAGAGTTGTCAATGCACTACCAGTCACTCTGTGGTTTTTTTTCTCCAAAACCCTCAAAACTTTAACCTTAGACTGTCTACTGTTGACCTCACCCCATTCCCAAGAGATCTGTAAGGGGTGTGCGTAAGAACACCAATGTGGCTACTGTCTCTGTCCTAATGTCCCCCTTTTATTTGTACCCATTTCATGTACTCATAATCATGTTCCTAATTTTATCTGTTATCTAAAACATGCTTGACAAAACAAATAAATAAAATAAATGATCAAGGAAGTACCAAACAGAAAACAAATATTGGTAGGGCAAGCTACTACATATAAACAGGGACTACCGGTGCCCATACTCCCTGGCACTGATGATGTTATCTAGTTAAGTGATGAAATATCTGCCAGAGAATCGGCAAACGCCATCTCTGACTGGCCCCACCTCCATGTATTCTCTGCCCTGCTGAGTCCCAGCTGGTCCTCTTTGGTTGCCCTGTACAGGAGAACGGAGCTGGAAAGCAGGTTAGTGGGGTGGGGAGGGAATGGGGATTTTGCAGTAACCTTCCTCCAGGAGTGGGGAGGGAATAGAGATTTTGCAGTATCCTTCCACTGCCACACCCACCAAGCCATGCCCACCAAGCTACGCCACACCCAACCAAGCCATGCCATGCCCAACCAAGCCATGCCACACCCACCAAGCCATGCCCACAGAACTGGTAGTAAAATTTTGGGAATCCCACCATTGGTTGTGATCCCTTGAAGTAGATTTAGCTCACCTGATTGTGTTTCTTGTCTAGTTTAGCTGGGAAGACCAATAGCTACCCTGAAGGACCTGCTTACCTGGTCGGTTCTCCTCCTGATGTTCTGGGAAGGAAGAGCTGTCATAAAGGCCGTCCCTGCTGTCGAAGTATCGGTAGGCATTATCTCCCAGGTGGACCCTCTGGTGCTTGGTCAGGTAGGGCCTCCAGCGGAAGCTCTCCCCGCACTGGAGGCACTTGTACGGCTTCTCCCCGGTGTGGATCCTCAGGTGCTCCGTCAGGGTGGAGCGCCGGTTGAAGCTCCGCCCACACCTGGGGCACTCGTAAGGCTTCTCGCCCGTGTGGATGCGCAGGTGGGCGTTGAGGTGCGTGCTCTGGAAGAACCGCTTCCCGCAAGCCAGGCACTCGAAGGGCTTCTCCCCCGTGTGGGTCCGGCGGTGCTTCACCAACTCGAACTTATACTGGAAGGCTTTCCCACAGTCGTGGCACACGTGTTTCTTCTCCACCTGAACGATCTTGATTTGGCTGAGGTCGGTGACGTCATTCCCACCGGGGAGCGGCTCTGATTCAGTCTTTATGGGCCACCTGAGCGGCGGCCCACCTGAGCCTCGGCTGAGCCCACAGATCTCAGGGCTGGGCTTCACCCTGCTGCACGGCTTCGATAAGGCAGAGGCAGGACGCAGGGACTCGGCTTCTGGGGCGCCACTCTCGATGGCACCCCCTGCTGGAGGGGAGGGGAAGAGTAAGGGGAAGACAGCAGCTGATTTAAATGTATTTGTATCACAAGGTTTCTATTCCTACCCCGATGGTTTTGTTTTTCCTTTTATGTATTATGTATTTTATTTCCTTTTATGTATTATATATTTCCTTTTATGTATTATGTATTTCCTTTTATGTATTATGTATTTCCTTTTATGTATTATGTGTTGCAATGACGAGGCAGTCGAGGTGTTTGATCATGATCACATGAATCATGATGACTTTATTGGAGTCTAGTCTTGTATTTATACACATTTCTAGTAATCCTCTAACATTGGTTAACTTTGGTTGTTGATCAGCCTTTGTTACTATCTAGCATAGTAATTAACACAATTAATTATCTCTAGTTAAAGTCTAACATATGTTTACTTCCTCTCTCTAATCCTTCTTTGCATTAGTGATTTTGTTTGCCTGAGTTGTATTTGCTTTTGTCCTTATCTGAGCTTTGCCATCAAGATAATGACTTTCCTGCAATTACAACTCTACAATTATGTAACTCTTTTATGTATCTATATGTACATTTATCTATTTTGATTGGTTTTCTTTTGTTTTTATATTTCTATTTTATTTTATTTTGATTTATTTTATTATTTTGATTTATTTTATTATTTTGATTTATTTTATTATTTTTATTTATTTTATTTATTTTTATTTATTTTATTTTATTAGTTTATTATTTATTTTATTTTATTAGTTTATTTATTTTATTTTTGTTTTATTAGTTTATTATAATATATTTTATTTATTTTATTAGTTTATTTTATTATTTTATTTACTTTATTAATTTATTTTATTATTCTATTTATTTATTTTATTTTATGTTTTATTTTCTATTATATGGAATTGAATTGAACTTTATACACAAACACACAAATACTGAATGGCGCAACCAAGTAGCTGGCATTGTACACTGAGAACCTATGTACCAGAGACAAATTCCTTGTCTGTCCAATCACACTTGGCCAATAAAGAATTCCACTGTGTAAGGGAACATCTGCGCAGTGTATAGGCCACTAGATCCTCCCAAATCCAGATGGGAGATTCTATAGAAGGTCACAGAGAATAACAGCGCCAAGATCCTGTGGGGCTTCCAGATGCAGATGTACGACCAGATACAAGCCAGTCAACCTGTCATCGGGGCAGGAGACAAGGAACAGAAGACAGAGGTGGTGATAAGATCTAATGGCGTCAAGGGACAGCAAGATCAGGGTGAAGGAGCGTAAGAAGTTGTACCAGGGCCGGAAGGAGGAACTGAAGGAGAGGATGTGGAAAGGAAAAGCCAAGGTGGTCCCAGTAGAGGCAGGAGAAATTGGGGCAGTGACTTCTAAACTGGGAGAGCCAACAGATCCCACAGCAGAACTATGTGTCCAGAAGAAGGCAGTGTTGGGATACCACAGTTGGGATAACAGGAGAACAAACCCCATCAGGCCAAGATGCAGCAATCCATCTGCGTTTAACAGACAAAGGCCATTCTTTTGAAGACAGCAAAGCCCACTTTTTGGACAGAGAGGACCACTGGTTTGAAAGAGGGGTCAAAGACTCTATCTATGTCAAAATTGAAGAGCCCTCTCTCCACAGAGGGGAGGGATATAACATCATCTATCCCCAGTCTGTAACACTGTCCTTTCAACAGTTCCAAGAAGGCTCCACACCCGTTTGCATCACTCAGGTGGCCCTGATAGACACAGATCAACCTCCAGGTGGCCTCAGTGATTCTCTAAAAGAAGGCAAATGACCAGCTATCTGCAAGGAGTAGAAATCCTTCCATTCCCCGTCATTCCAGTCAGAGCTGAAGAAGCTTCTTGGATGGGAAGTGAAACAATTTCAAGGAAAAACCAGAAAGTCCAATTGCCTCTTTTTTTTAAAAAAAAAGCATCTTTGGGAACAACCATGACCTGGATGACTGAGAATCTTCACAGACAAAGAACAGTCAAAGATACCCTGTAGAACCCTCAAACTCTCAAGCCTGACATTGAGGAAAAGATAGACAACCCATAGAGGTGAAAAGGGAACCTGACAATTTATTTTTAATCCAGTAGGGTTTCATATCAGGGGTTCAAATCCCCAGAGCAATGTTTCTCAAACTCGGCTACTTTCAATTGTGAGGATTTCAACCTGGAAAATGAGAAAGGGAAGTTCTCCTGGGCTCCTTTATGTCGGTGATTTGAAGATTTGATCTGCAGAGCTCAGCCTGTCAGCTCCCTGGGTTCAAAGGGATGAGTCTTCATTGAAGATTTATCTCTTTTTACTGGAGACCACAGGAGCTGCAAGAACGGTCGCAGGAACTGGGTATGTCTAATCTAATGAAAAGAAGGTCTAGGGGAGGCATGATAGCAGTGTTCCAATATCTCAAGGGCTGCCACAAAGAAGAGGAAGCCAAACTATTCTCCAAACAGAACCTGAGGGCAGGACAAGAAGCGATGGGTGGAAACTAATCAAGGAGAGAAGCAACTTAGAACTGAGGAGAAATTTCCTGACGGTTAGAACAATTAATCAGTGGAACAACTTGCCTCCAGAAGCTGTGAATGCTCCAACACTGGAAGTTTTAAAGAAGAGATTGGATCGCCATTTGTTTGAAATAGTATAGAGCATTGGTGGCTAACCTTTCTGGGCTCCTGTGCCAAAAATTGTGCGCATGCTTCCACGCTTGCGTGCCACAGCACCCAGAAGGCAATGTGCCCCCCCTACACCCCCTACACCTGTGCACGCACCCCCCCCCTGCCACCTCTTTACCTGCACTGTGCCTCACAGCTGATTTTAGGCTGGTTTAGGCCTTTTTCGGCCTCCCAAAGGCTTGAGGAAGGCTTCTGCAGCCTTCTAGGCGGAAAACTATCCCCGTTTCACCACGTCCCGTTTTTCCGAAAATACTGGAAATGACAAAATGGGGCTAGTTTTTGGCCTACAAAGCTTGCAGAAGCCTGCAGAAGCCTTCCTCAAGCCTTTGGGAGGCAGAAAAAGACCTGAAACTAGCCAAAAATCAGCTGTCAGGCACGCACATGCACAGTGAGGTAAGTTTGGCTGCATCTTGCGTGCTGGCACAAATGGTTCTGCGTGCCATAGATTCGCCATCACGGGTATAGAGTTTCTTGTCTGAGCAGGAGGTTGGAGTAGAAGACCTCCAAGGCCCCTTCCAACTCTGTTCTTGTACTCTACTCCACTCCACTCCACTCCACTCCACTCCGCTCTACTCTATTCTAAAGTAATCTGTAAAAGCAGAGAATAAAATCAGACTTGCCCACTAGTCTTCCCAGAGGCTCAGGGCAGGACGAGACATCAAAGATGGCTTCTCTGTTGTTGAGGCCTCTGTAGGCAGCATTGCCCAGGTGGACCCTCTGGTGCTTGGTCAGGTAGGGCCTCCAGCGGAA